TTTGGCCTATGTTTTTTTTTAGACACTCAACTTCAAGTGGGAAAAAAATGAACTCTAAATGATTTGACTTCATAAAATAATAGCCAGGAATACACAATATTGCAAACATAAAAAGAAAACTACCAAATTATCATGAAATACCTTACTGGATTGTGTTTGTGAATGAAAGGCCATGAAGCATCCTGTAAAAAATCACGGCACCTGGTGTTTTGTCATGGTTGTCATTTTCAAGAAACGTGGTATTTTTGTAAGAATTTCCAATGCTGCTCGGCCAACCAGGTCTTTTTTTAAAATACATGTACTACCCCCAAATATTTAGTTAGTCCGCAGTTTGTTTGCAACTGATTACACCCTATTGAACAGGTGCAAGCCAGCTAGATGGGTTTCCGACCTTATGATTCCACAATATCTATAAATAATAAATTGTTTCATCTTAAGTGGGGTCAGGAAAGACTTTATTGTTTTCTTGGTTTTTCCAGGATCTTACGAATACAAAGCTTAAAAAAGTCAGTGAAACAATATTTTATGTAGCATACTAACCCCAATCCATCCATTCCTGAAAATTACAGCAAAAGCAAATTATGTATCATCCAAATAACGGAAGTTATCATGGAATTGCTCATTTTAAAATTTTTACTTTTTTAGTACAATTTTCTTAGCCCAAAACTGTTTAAACACATCGTATCATATTTGAGTAAAAACCTAGCAATCTATACAAGTATTAAAGTTGATAATCTGAGAATGCCAAATATATCAAAGAAAAGGTGTATCAAACAGTGTAGTTTGTCCCTCAGTGCATACTTCTGAGGTAATACTCTTATACATGTAACAACTCTAGTACATTATGATTTAACCTAGTTTACTTATTAGTTTACCTAAGTACTGCATTTTGATTTTTTGTAGTTTTTCACAGTTTATGAACATGTTTTGCTTGAGCAAAATGAAAAGTATGAAACTCACATTGATCATGGCATTGGAGGTAATCCTGAACAGTGTTGCTCGTTCATTGATGCTTTTGAGTTTGCTTATTGCCTCGGTTGGATCTTGGATGACCTCTAGGTCACTTAAGGCACGTTGGAGTGCCGTTCCATGTTTAGAGATCAGGTCATTGCAGATACCCAGATCTTCTAGTTTGCTGTCAGGATATGCAAGGTTGTCTGCAGCTCTGTGCGGTCTACATCTGACGGCAGTTCTTCTTCATCATCTAGAAAGCATCAAGAAACATTCTAAACAAATTGCAAGCATGCATACATTCAAATCTGTACATGTTGTATCATACATGCATTCAGGATTTTTTGGACGTTCAGTAAAGCGAAAGAGAAAATACAAAAATTGTAAAGAGAATTCAATAAGTTGTTACAGACCACTGCCATTTTCAATATACATGTATATGTAGATTTTATTTTTTGCTTGGGGGGGGGGGGGTGATTTTAGTGACCAAAGTGCCAAGGACAAAAAAACGTGTCCAAATACTATGAGCAAAATGACAGAAAAAAAAGAAAAAAGAATAAGCAAAAATATAATCTTTAATAACGAAAACAAAGCTGTTCAGCCAACAACACAAACGTTATGTATAAGCTCATGGAATAAGATGGTAATCAGTGTATATGTAGATTTTATTTTTGGCTTGGGGGGGGGGGGGGTGATTTTAGTGACCAAAGTGCCAAGGACAAAAAAACGTGTCCAAATACTATGAGCAAAATGACAGGAAAAAAAAGAAAAAAGAATAAGCAAAAATATAATCTTTAATAACAAAAACAAAGCTGTTCAGCCAACAACACAAACGTTGTGTATAAGCTCATGGAATAAGATGGTAATCAGTGATGGAGAGAAAAACTGCCCATAAACAAAAACAATGTTCAGTTCCCAGTGCAAGCAAATCAAGTGATTCCGGAACCAAGTGGCAGCAAACCGACAGCATATAATGGCCGTAAACATCCCCCAAAAATATATTTTCAATATAACATATTGTTGAAATCCTCCGTTTCCATAATAATAAGGCCAAATTAAAAACAAACAAACATGTTTAGCGGCCTGCCTTTTTGAAAAAAAGGAAGGAGGCCCTTTTTTTCCCCTTCCAAAATGGCCGCCCATCCGGGCTATTAAGTATTATTCAAGATGGTCGCCAGCTTTTTTAAAAATGGCCACCACTGGGACTCAGGAATGACATAACAGTTTTATATGGGCTAAATGCAACAGACGAAGAGGCCAGAATGATGTCACTGTTTAAAATTTCTCATTTTTTGTGATTTAAAAAAGAAAAAGAGAAAAAAGGAGGGGGCCTCCAAAAAGGAAGCGGGCGGGGACGCTAACCATGTTTTTTTTTTATTTGGCCTTATAACTGAATTTTGATTTAAAAAAAAAATACCACTGATCGAATCCCGTATTTTGGAGTTGCATTATCGTTAAAATCCGTGTTTCAATGACGACCCTATCATTGAAATAGACCTTACACCCTTACACGGAACTTGGAATTTTAAATCAGCGTTTTATATGTTTTTCCACAATATCAAATCATAGTAACTTGGATGGTCATACCGGTACATGTATGCAATTCTGTAGTGAATTGCATTTAAAATCATTAAAAAACGAATGCACTCAGAGATCAATTCCCATTGCCCAATTGATTGACTAATCATTAACATTTCTTGTAGGCCTCCCGGTATGTGTTGTACATTTGTCATTTTCTACTCATTACTGGTAGGTAGGCCTACCAGAGATAGAGATACAAAGCCAAAGTGACGAGATGAGTCATCCCTGCCAAATCATTACACACAACCAACAAGCTGACATATTAGTGGATTACCGGGCACAAAAGACTGCAGAAGTTGAATCAGTTGCAAATTGAAGAAAATAACTCCAGTAACAATTATTTTTGTTCTTCTACTTTACATGTAGTTGGCCTCATTAGTTATAGTGTTCTAGATGACTCTTAAAATACGGTATGCCACCTGTGGTCTCTACGTTGTCATGAAAGCATCAAGACCAAATAGCCTTGCCCTTAAAAACACAAAGTTCAATGCCTGAACCAGAATTGTACAAATTCAGCAGCCTAGCCTCTAACCTGAATCTTCTTCCATCATTTGTATGGCTCTAGCCTTGGCCAATTCCAGTGATGTTACCCATCGTTGTCTTTCTACCTCAGAGCTGGCTTTGAGATGAAAGGTCTGCGTGCCGCTGGAGATGACAAAGTTACAAGAGTCCTCTGTGTCGATGTAGGCACCAGACAGATTAATAGTGCCACGGCAAGTGTGGGCCATTTCAGCTTGGTTACTGAAAAATCAAATCAAAGTGAAAAGTGAAACTATAATTGTGTCTTACTTAAAACACAACACAAAGGCTTTCTGCATCAATTTGTTTTGTGACTTGATATTGAGATAAGGTGCCTTATATCCTAAACATGCAAAATGTTGGGAGCCCTCCAAGGTCATAGACTAGAAGTTAGTCATAGTTTATTTAAGTTTACGTACATGTACTCACATACATGTATGAGGCTATCTGTGAATCTACATGTACACTAGCACAGGATCTGTCCTTACCAAGATATTTGAGAAACAACCGAGGCCAGATATGAACAACTTACAAGTACAATTTTGGGTTTATCAGTGGGATTCAAAACATGCAAAATGGTGGGAGACTTCTGAAGCTGCCCTCAGGTCAACTTGCGATTTGCTTGCGCCATGATGTAACCATTGGCATCAAGCAGAAAAGTTATGCTCAGGTCACAAAACTGAGAAATCGTGTGATTCTTGTAGAGCAAGCGGCATCTCGACACAGACTAATCACAGCCATGCCCATGACGCGACGACAATTCCATGGCACAAGACAGTCATGTGACTTCTGTATATAGCGAAAGCATGTTGATTACAATCAAATGACCTTCCACGGCCACATCTGTTCATTCAGCTGTTTTTGCCGCACACTACACAACTGCGAGTGATTCCTGCCTATCGGGAACACATCACAGACAGGGGTTTTCCTTAGCGGTCGCCCGCTCGCCAAATGCGAGTGAAAACAGCGGCGGGCGAGTCAAAACCCTCCTCTCAGTAGTCCGACGGGCGAGTCAAAAAACTGTTAAAAAAAAATTAAAATAACGAAGTTTTCCCTACAGTATTTTTCAAACAATCAAAATAAAAAGTTAAGGGTGATACAACACATGAATACTTTTGCCACGCCGACCGAAATAAAAACATCTGTAGTTCGAATTCGTATCACTCCATGTATATTCGCAGTGCGCTGTGCATTGAAATCCCAACGACGAACATGAGGCGGATCAACGTGTATTTGCCATTACACATTGTGCACACATGCAGCACACGTGATTTACTTCATCTGCAGTCCACACGGTACGGACGTACGTACGTTAACATCGTATTCGTATCATACAACGTGGTGAGGAGAAAACTTTCATGACAGTTTCACTGCCAAAACTTGTGCCCGAACGGATTCTTGGGATGATTTCTTGAACACTATCAAACGAATGTACCGAAAAGATGAGGACAATATGAGATTCGAGGGGCCTATTTTGAATGTAAAGACTAGTGAATGTAAAGTGGACCGTGCTCCGGAAAACGTTATGGATTGACGTGACCAGCGTAAGTTCGTGGGTCGCCCGCCCGCAGCGCTTCTTGGCTAGGCACACTGATTGCACCATTCTTCGCTAGAAATGCATGGCGCGCACGAGAGATGTTTTTTTGAAAATACTGGCCTTCTCACTCATTTTCAAACAAGTTAAAACAGTTCAGTTACTAACTTGGTAAACTCCCATTAATACCACGACTGTGTGCAATGTTTTCTTGTTCCTCAAGATAACGCTTTTTTAGTTCGTGTTTTATCAAAACATGTCGGAAATAGAACACCTAAAGCCTTAAGTTCGGAACGAAGCACACTGCATAAATTTTGATTATAACTTCTCCCCCTATTTGATTCCTGTTAATTAAAGCCTTGCTCTATGTTAAAGCATGGACGATTAAAGAAACATTGACATCACTTAAAAAGGAACTACATGCAATATTATGTACATGATTAAGATAATTGCCGATTGTATTCATATTGCATAATTTATTATCAAAAATGTTATCAAAAATGCTTATGGTGATTTGATTGAAAGTTACTATTAAAACATGTGGGCTAGTGAAAAAGGTTGCGGGCCAGTGAAAACTCTGGTTTACTGGCCCGGCCGGCCAGTAAAGGAAAAAGTTAAGGGAAACCCCTGACAGAAGTTCAAATTGTTCTACTTTTGTGACTTGATTTTGTTTGAGTTGCAGTTACACTCAGGTTGCACAAAATCGCCAACTAATTTGTTCCTGACGGGTTGCAACTCAGGCGACATGTAGCTTGATCCTGAAAAGTTAGTTGCTGACTGATTTGTGTCATTGCAAGGAGGACCTGAGGGCAGCTTAAGGTAATAGGCGGAGTTTCATTAACCATTTGAGCACAAAATGTTGGATAGTAACATGCCACTGTGTGTCGGAGGGAATAGTGCTAGAATGGTCATTCCTATAAAGTTACTGTGGGTTGGATGTGGGTCAGCTGACCTAGGTCAAATGTCAAAATTTGCTATTCACTGTGGTGCTCAAGTGACGTTTTGGGATTAAAGTGTAAAGATTGACCCAATACCAAGTATACATGTACATGTAGTTTACAAGGTGGCGCACTTGACTTTCCCCGACTGTCCTTGTGCAGTGTAACAAGACCTTTTTTTGACAATCTTCAAATTCATTTAGTTTATAAAAACTGGTACTATTACATAATACCTCGCCCTAGCTCTTGCTGAACAATTTCAGTCTCATAAAATTAAGTCAGAAATTCAAAACTGTAACGATATTGGGCACACACTTGCTGTGTTCTCTATCATTCAACAAATCTCATAAATTCCCGGGAATCCTGCGCGAACAGTAAAAGTTTCTGCAAAGTTGACAATTTCGATAAAACAATATTATCAAATACATGTAGGGACATAAAGTATTGTGAAATAATGCATTTCTTATTGAAAAATAACAAAAAACTTGTATTGGGAGCTAATTTGCAAAATAATACAATACTTAAGTACATACAAACTTCACCCCCATTATTTAGCAACACTGTTGCGTTATTTCACAATACTCTTGCATTATTTAGCAATGCTACTGCATTATTTACATGTAGCAATACTATTGCGTTACTATTACTAAGCAAAAGTACTGTATTTGCTTTATTTTGCAGTATTTTCTGTTCACTTTTAAACCTTGCATGATTGAGCTTCAATAGAAACCAGCTTCGGCATTTGAGCTTACCTAGAATATTGTTTCCCAACATCTCTAGTGCCCTGCTAAAGTACTAATGTCGGCAATTTGTAGCGTAGGGCCACTGTTTGTATGTATGTAGGTCATTGGACCTACCAAACTACATGTAGTTGGCGACATTGAAACCAACAGGCAGGTACAATGTACGCTGTACCGTAGATAAGGAGCTTGTGTTTGTTACTTGTACTTGTGCAGTGGAAACGACGAAACGCAACACGAAAATCAAGATAACCCCAACACACAGTGAACACAAAAACCATGTCATTTGCATAGCACCAACTGTAATAGACATGTATGAGAAAATCAGATTTTCTACTACATGTCATTGCATGTAGGCTTTTTCACAAAGTACCTTTTCCCGTGGACAAAAACAACGGATTGCATCACAAAGGCCAACTTTGTAAATTTGTAACTTAAGTCATGTAAGTACATATAGAAACTACACAGGTTACAAAAATTTAATTTAACTGTCATAATTTATGATATTTTCGGGTTATGCCATAAAAAAAAGCATTTTACGTGCCAATCACGAATGCACTTTGGCCCAATTTTGTGGACTTTTCTCTACTCATTACCTGATTACAGAAAGTAGCGGGTACCAACTACTTTTTACTGTTTTCATGCATTCTGCTGGGTTAAAAGCCTACTGCGTGACCTTAGATTCACATCGATTGGCCATTTTGTAAATGTGTGATGTCAAAACAGAAATTGTTTTGAAAAAACAGTTGAAAGAGATTATCAACTGAATGTCAGTAACAAGCAAAATTAGACACCCGAGCTTCATTTGAGAAACTGTCATGATCCTCTGATGTCTGTGAGCCAATGAATAGTTTCGGATCAATAGTATTTCAGAAACAACGATTACGCATGTTTCATGTTGCCACGCTGGCATTATATTTATAACGTGGCGCACTTCCACTTGCCCCAACTTTCCTTGTGCAGTGTTGCAAGACATCTTTGTTGACAAGCTTCAAATTCATTCAGTTAAATACTGGTACTCAGTGTTCTCTAACTTTGAAAATTAAAGGTCGGTGCGCAGTCAAAAAGCGGAGGGGAGGGGGGCGCTATATGTTAGGGGCGCGCCGCTATTTTCAGTCATACATTTCTTTATTCTAGGGGGCCCTATTTGCAGATGAACATGTAAGTTATGTATGCAGTGCGTGAAATTACAGTCGGACATCGGACATTTTCCGACCACTTTCATGGTTTGTCCGACCAAATGCAGATGTGCTCGGACAAAATGTCCGAGCGATTTATGTATTCTTTGTGGAGTTGTCTTTTTCAGAAGTATGAAATAAAGGCTTGCACTCAAAAGTATTTTGTTGTTTATTTCCGATGATCCGGTCTGTAATACTTACCGTACGCTGAGCGGCTGCTAACTACATGTACGTGTTGTCTTATATTCACGCAATAGATGCAACGCGTTTACACCCCAATCATTACACAGTCTAGTACAGCGCGGCGTGCACAGCGATAGATTGGCATTCGTACGTACGTGCCGTTTGCCAAAAAATAGACGTGAAATCAAGTGATAAATTGTGTTTCGATCAGCAGTCTTCGTGTTTCTTCTACAAATCAGTTAATACAACTTTTTGTACTTTTCAAGTCATTTTATGGAAATGAGCAGTGGCCGTTTGTGGAATTCCCAGTTAATTTCTATTGGGCAAAAGTGTTAAATTGGACCTGATTCAACCTCTATTCCTTGCTATAATGATTCGATCGAGCCTCTTTGGACATTCAGAACTGCAATTTCACCCAGTTTAAGTTATGTGTTCTGTAGACTTGAATCGAGTCTGTATAGTGACGAGTCTAAATATTATAAGGACATTGACGCGCATACATGTAATGAGAATTTAGCAAGATCAAAGTACGTTGTGTTGCGCGGTATGCTTTAAGTGTGTGATTGTTACTAAATTCTCACAACGTGGCTTACTACAGAAACGAGCGCGTGAATGCCCGGCGCTTGTCATTGCAACTACATAGTGTGTATTATGGTGTACGTACGTATACATACATACTGTACATGTACACACGTGTATGTACCGTCCACGTGTTTGAAGTATAGTAAACGCGGCCTTTTGAAAGTTCGTCTCAGATGGCAGATCAAAACTTGACAATGGCAGAACACTTTTGATTGTGCTCGGACATTTTGTCTGACCACTTTTTTTGTCTAATTTCACGCACTGTGTATGGATAACAGCTTTTAGGCCACTTCTCTTCCAAGTGAATGCGGCAAAGTCTACATCGGCGAAACCGGTCAGAATCTTCCCACTAGGCTCAAAGAACACAGAGCACATGGACGGCGAGGGGATTTTGACAAATCGGCGATTGTCAAACATTCCCACATCAACGACCACAAGGTTGATTGGGATGCGGCCGAACTCATCGCACCAATCCATTTCTGGCATCCAAGACGCATACGGGAAGCCATCGAGATCCGCAAACACAACACAGTTCCACAAGACATCGGGTTTCACCTCAACGACATCTTACTCCCACTCCTCCAGACTGATGGGTATCCTATACCCTAGGTCCTCAGCCACCACCTTAGACTGATGGGTATCCTATACCCTAGGTCCTCAGCCACCACCTTAGACTGATGGGTATCCTATACCCTCCCTCTACTGAGACTGCAACCCTACTGTTCCACTTCAGTGGGCACCAAGCTTGCTCTAGGATCCCAGCTACTTGGCATCCACACAGGATGCAACTTCACACTTCATTGATTTCGCTTTTGCTACTTACGTATTTACTTTCTTAGAGTTTGAGCACTCTCCTGAAGACGGTCAGAGCATACTGACCGGAGCTTCGAATTTATACCTCTGGTTCTTTTCAGAACCATTCTCTTAGTTGAGAAAGTATTCGCACATGGTGTTTCCGCAAAACTTTCATTATTTAGGAAATACTTAAAAAATTTCTTGACTCTCCATAGACTTTGTACACAATCGCGGAAACGGCTTCAGGTTGCAACATTTTTAACAAATCTTTTTCTGGACTTAGCCTACAATTGATTTCATCACCCCGTTTGAGCCATTGATCTTTTTCTTAATTTTTACACGTGGACTAGAGAGACTGGCAGCAAGTCTAGTCCATCATGGCGGTCTAGTGAGTTGGCCGACTCTGTTTGTTACACTATGTACATGTATGTGATCACTCGGTCTCGGTGCAGTTTTGCTTGGCCCATCTACTGAAAAAATTCCTCAACACCCGAGATTAAATTTTTTGTGGCCTTCACATAATAAATAATGATGAAAATTATCTTGTTTTTAATGAGATAATGAAATTGAGATTCCTAGTTTCGGTGCACCGAATTTACAATTCCGTTGATTCTTATTTTCGTATCCCGAGTGCGATTCCGTTACCGAGCGCGATGCATCAATTATGATAATGAGTAGACCGGATCACGTTTATAAACACATGTACATTTCGAATGATAAAAGGGAGTCAGGAACTCGCTTGAACTGGTTTCCGCCCATAAAGCTGCCTTAGTTCCCGACTCCCTATCATCGCTCGACATGTACTTTTGTTTACAAACGAGATCCGGTCTACTCATTATCATAATTGATGCATCGTGCTCGGTAACGGAATTGCACTCGGGATACGGGAACCATCGAATGTATGCTGGGCATGAAGACCACATCGCGACGTTTAAACATTAACAGAGTCGGAAATTTGACGTGTTCACGATCGTGAGGGGAGCTCTCGGAATTGAACGGAAATTTCACTTTTCATCCGGATTGTAAGTAAACTTTTGTACAACCATCTTAATTATCGATGTCTACTTGTACGTCAGGTGGCGTATCTAGTGATTTGGAGGCCGTTTTGAGGGTGAAATCTGATGTTTTTGTTGGGCAATGTTGGGTTTTTGGTTCAATGACAGAATTGTGTTGCTCGGCATATAACCATTAGATTGGACCCACTATCGCCAGACCATGTCCGAATGTTAAAAAGGCGATAAGTTGGGTCCAAGTTACTCAGACTACTGTTGCACTACAGTTGGGACACGTCTGGACGGTCCAAACTATAGTTGAGATCGATGCCATAGTTGGGGCGTAACATTTCTACCAGTACTAGGCTAGACCTGTGAACGTGGCGTTGTATACAACGCCACGCTATTGTGTATTTACGAACCTAGCGAAATCGATTCGCCATACATGATTTCGTATGGATGTTGAGTACTCACCTAGAAATCTAAATTTGCCTGTACGGGTGTTCAGGATGTGTCATTTAGACGAAATTTGCCATCAATGAAGACCCATACGAACGTGTAGAAATTAGATTTTAACCTGACAAGTGACCCTGACAAATGACCCTGGACGAGTACCCACGGTCATTTGCGTGCAAAATTTTCGGAGCCCTCCGAGCTACCCGTCTGCTTCATGTGGCGCATATGATAGGCGGCGTCTGATTGGCCAATAACGAGACAAATAAACGCAGCTAACAATTTGGAATCGCACTTATGATCCGGACATCAGGAGTGCCCGGAGCGTCAGTGCGATACCAAATTATCTGCAGCATTTATCACATGGTAAATCACTAGTCCGAGTAACTTGGACCCAACTTATCGCCTTTTTTAACATTTGGACATGGTCTGGCGATCCCCAAATGTTAAAAAAGGCGATAAGTTGGGTCCAAGTTACTCGGACTAGTAAATCACATGCATGATTGGAGGAGGTTGCAGGACGTCGAGATCTTACCTCGAATATCGTTTAAATGCCAGATTTGGCATAAAAGCAGATTTCAACATGTTCAACATGTTCAAGAAAGCTTGATATGTGAATACTTATCGCACTGTAAGGCAATGTTCAGTCTTTGTCACGGAAGGACGATTTCGCTTGGTTCGAACATAAAACTACAAGAGCGTGGCTTAGTTTACAAGCCACGTTCACGGGTCTAGTACTAGGCCTACTACTAGTACTAGTACTAGCCTATGTGCTCACCGATAATAAGACAGAAGCCCATTTGAAAGTACAAACCAACGCCTCTGGTAGCCCTTGATGTAATTTGTCCACTTGTAGAGCCATCCTTTGAAGTTCTCCGGTGGGGGATTTTTAACACTGGAGTCAGCCATACTTGACTGCACCTAGAAACCTTTAGAGTCTCTTCTAATAAAATCAGTTTTCGGCTTATGCGTGATATGTAAGAAACAATACAACTTCCCGAAAATCTGTCGAAAGCGTTACACGACACTAGTCATGCTAGTCGGTCACGTCGAATCCCCGTCACGTACGTCGCGTCGATGGACGAAATGGGCGTATGATGCATTTGCACACGTTGCACTAGTACCGAGTCTACGTGTCATAGGAGTTGAACCACTGCACGCGTTTGCAGTTGTGGCACCTGACTGTATAGACTGGGTCGGGTCCCTCGACCCGTATTCGGGTATTCGACTTCGAAGGTATTTTTGAGGCGGGAACCAGTGCAAAGTAAATCGGCTGAAAACATTAAAGGGAATATACATCATTTGCTTTTGCTGTAATTTTCAGAAATGGATGGAATTGGGGGGTTGGAAATATGAAGCAAATATAGTTACACTGACTTTTTGGAGGTTTTGGGTTCGAAAATGCTATAAAAACCAAGAAAAACGATCATTTTCCTGTAGTCTGGTTCCCTGACTCCATATAAGAAGAAACAGAGCAGTTTACATACATTGGAGAATTGTAAGGTCAGGGAACCAGTCTAGCTGGCCCATACCCGTTCATAGGTTTGTAATCGATTGCAAACAAGTGCAATGGTCAATTGTGGCCAGTATTTGAAAAAAAGCCAGTTGTTTCCAACGCTGATCGGCCGATCAGCGTTGGAAATTGATACAAAAATACCAATTTTCTTGAAAATGACAGTATACCAGGTGCCATAATTTTACAGGATGCTTTAGACTGTCATTTACCAACATCCTATTAAGGTATTTCGCAAAAACTTGGTAGTTTTATTTTTCGATGTTTGCAAATGTTGTATATTCCCTTTAAACTAATTTCATTCATTGTCATTTCGAGCTTATTATGTTGTAAGATCTTAGTTCCGGAGTGTGACCATGGTGTGACTGTGACTGTGACTGTGTGAGTACTGTCTAATAGGTGTTTTTTGGTAGGCCTACGACTTTACGACGTGTCAGAAACAGAGTACTGAGTAGGCCTAAAAACTTCAAAAAAATCTAAAACACGGAATTGTGGAATGGCGGAATCGAGGTGTCCTGATGTTGTGCGCTTTCTTATAATTTGCGCAATCTTAAGAATGAGCGCGCATTCTTAAAAACGAGTGCATTCTTAAGAATAAGCGCGCAATCTGAAGAATGAGCGCTCATTCTTGAGATTGTGTGGGAATATTACTTGCACAATTTATGAATTTTGCGCAATCTTAACCATGTTCATGATGTTGTTAACAAATAGGCCTGTCGAACGCAATTTGAGTCCCCTGCGCAAGTTTAAACTTGCGCACGCAAGTTTAAACCTGCGTGTGGGACTCCTGGAGCATGCAAATTACACTGCGCCATTTTAATTTGCGTGCGCACGTTACAACTTGCACAAAGTCGATCGAAATTTGAGAACCTTGCGGGCGGGTTTTCATTGATGAAGAAAAAAAAAAGGTTCAAAACACGAGTACATGGAGAAATAAACTAACAAATAATGGAATAAATTAATAAACAAAGAAATAAATAAAAAGGGGAATTCAATAAGCGTCAATTAAAACATTGAGATTTAGCAGCTATCAGAGAAGTTTCTTAGGGGTGGTGGGGCACGGCGGGGAACCGGGCAAGCATTCCATAAGCACACTAGCGGTGATTGCTTCAAGTTTTTTGCCTTGTAAAACAACTAAGCATTTTATTATATTCTTTAATGTAAAATAAATCATAAAGTCCTATGTGTAACCCTTGTTAACGTAAAAAGAATCATTATGATCCCTTCAATTGTTCAAATTTTGACGTTTTAATCATTTACATTATTTTTAAATTTACATTATTTTAAAATGCTTTAAATTACATTACATGTACTGTGCAATTAAAAAACTACCTGTTCTTAAAAAAAATAGTAATTTAATTAATTTAGCAATTAATTTATTGGACAGTACAATAATTCATATTGACTTTAAAATACTTCGCATAACATTTCTCAATAAGTCTAACTCTTTAGTTGATAGTTCGTGTCGTATTTATTAGTCATCAACCAATGACAACAGCGGCTGCAAAGTAAAGGAAAAGATTATATTATGAATCATGGTTCTATATGCCCCCCAAGTCTTTGGGAATAACAAAGGCTAACAATTCTAGGAAGAAAAGATTCCAAAAATGTAACAGACATAACTAAGTAGCCTAAAGAAAAGCACAGATTGCAAAGGCCTGAACATGAACGATTAGCAAAGATCGAAACAAGAATAAGCATAGGTTATAGGAAGTAAACTGTAGCTGTGACTTTGGCTATATAAAAAAAAGTTCAGAGTATATGGGTGTCCTATAGTTCATCCCGAAGCCTGGCAGGCGGTCATGACAAGCGAGTGGAGCTGCGAGGGGCAGTCGAGGAGCGGTCCAGGGGTGGCAGATCCACGGTCGGGGCCAGGTGTTCCTTCAGACCAGGAGTATTGTGTGGTAGGAGGCCGCGGAGTGCACGGGGAACGGAGCCTGGGTGGGACCGGCTATTGGGTGGACGCGTGGTGGCCACGGTGGGTGTCACAGGTGAGGCGGGAGTCGGTTCCAAGCCATCCGGGGTTGGAGGATGGTTGGTGCGGGTTGGCTGGGAGACGGCTGGAAGCATCGCAGGTGGTGTGGCTGAGGTGTCCTGCGGTAACTGGTTGTTGGCCTGCAAGCGTGTTGCGGTACTGGAGCATGGCACGCTGGAATTCATCAGTGTTAAGTGTGCCTTCAGCATCAGTATTGTCAGTGATGAGGCGCTTCACAGTCTTGACGCCCACTTCAGCACAGCAGTTGCTGTGGGGGAAGGCGACGGATGAGATGCGGTGACATACGCCCCAGTTGCGGAGGAAAGCGCAGGTGGCCCCGGCGGTGAACTCTGGGCCACCGTCTGAGGACAGTTCATCGCTGATTCCATAGGTCACGAAGGTGCGGCGCAATGCAGTAATGAGTCCATTGGCGCCGTTGGCTGCCTGTTCGACGATTGGCCAGTTGCTGTACCTATCTACCACCACCAGGTAGTGACAGCCGCGGTAGGTGAAGTAGTCAGCGGCAGTGCATTGAAATGGATAATCGGGCTGGACGGGAGGCGTGGGCGGTGCGCCTGGCTGTGATGGCACCATACGGTTGCAGGGAGAGCAGCGTGCCCGGGTGTCGGTGATGGCGGGGGTCATACCTGGCCAGAAGAATGAGGACTGAGCTCGTGCACACATCATGGTGACGCTCTGGTGGGCCGAGTGTAGTGCTTCAAGGACCCGGGCACGGAGGGACGAGGGAATGATGACACGGTCATTGTAAAGGCATACGCCATCAAACTCTGACAGGTTCTCACGGAATTGGTGGTATGGCCGGAGCTCACGGGGGAGGTCGCCGGTGAGAGTGGGGAAGCCCTCTTGTATCATCTCAATCAGTCTGCACATGTTGGGATCACTGGATGTGGCGAGGCGGATATCGTTCCATGTGACTGATTTGATCACCTTAGCAGCTGTGGTGGCAGACTGACTGCATACTTGGACAGGGTCTGGGCCACTGGTGCGGATAGCAGTAAGGAAATCATTTGGCAGCACAGTGGTCGTTGGTTCGCTTGAGTCATGGAGCACAGGTGCGACATCATCAGGGAGCTGTAGCAGTGTGCCCTTACCAACGGGGTGGCGGGATACCCCATCAGCTGCAGCGTGGCGTGCATCAGATATGTGGATGATGCGGAAGTGGTAGCGCAGTGACTTCTCCTTGAGGTTGCGGAGGTGAGGGTTTGGGATGTCCTCGAGTGAGCGGTCACCGAACACCTTCAGGAGGCGCTTGTGATCCACCGCCACTATGAGGTCAGAGCAGCCGAGGACAAAGTGGCGGGCCTTGTCAAGTGCATCGATGACAGCAAGGGCCTCCCCCTCCACTGGGGTGTAGCGGGACTCGGCACCTGAAGTGAAACGGCTCCCGACCAGAGTCACCCTCCAACCAGTCTTGCAGCAGTAAGGGTTTTGAGGAGGGGCAGTCGCAGTGCTTCTGGAGCAGCCAAAATCCCAGACCATCTTTGCTCCAGTCAGTTGCAAGGCAGGTCGGCTTGGTCTTGTCGAATATCTCCACCCCTTTGTGGATTTCGCTGACGATGAGGGCCTTTGATTCCTCGAATAGGCAGTCCAGCTCATCGGTCCACGAGAAAGGGGTACCAGGTTTGAGGAGTTTGCGGAAGGGCAGCATGCGGTCAGTCATGGCGAAGGCATAGGAGACCTGGTTGATAAGCCCGAACCAGCTGCGCACGTCTGTGATATTATGAGGCGTTGGGAAATTCTGGATCGCCTCAAGATACTCAGGGCAGGGGCGTACAGAGGTCGGGGTGATCTCAAAGCCAGCAAACTTGACAGTCATCTGGGCGAAGGCAAACTTTTTGGGGTTCAAGGTGACACCATGTCTGCCACAAGTGTCGAGCCACTCAACTGCCTGGAAGAAGGCCTCCTCGATGGAGTCAGACCATATCAGGGTATCATCCACGCACTTGGTCTTCTTCGGGATGTCAGACACAATCTCATCAAAGCGGCGGCTGTAGCCATCACCGGAGGCAATGTCTCCCTGTGGGGCGACACAGTATCGGTAGCGGCCCCAAGGTGTGATGAATGTGGTGAGGTGGCGGTCCTCCTCAGCTAGGGCAATGCTGTGATACCCGTTCCATGCATCGAACACAGTTTTGCGAGTCTGGGGAGGAACTGCACGTGCTTGGTGGAATGGTGATTGTGTGTGGTGGGTCTCACGAACAGCGTGACGATTGAGTGACTGGAGGTCAACCGTCCGTCTGGGCTGGCCTGACTTTTTGGGGCAGATGTGACAGGTGTGCCGACTGGGACTGGTTCAATGACGCCGAGGCGGACATCGCGGTCAAGGCCTGCCTTTACATTGTCCTGCCAGTAGACGGGGACAGGAATAGGTGTGTGACAGGCGACGGGCCGAGCGTCAGGGTCCACCATGAGTCGCAGTGGGGGGCCAGCCATCATGGGGAGTAGTTGGTGCTCACATACATTGAAGGTGCTCGACTTGTAGTATTCCAGCAGCCACGTCTCACGCTTCTCCCGGTTCTCCTCAGTGGCTGGGAACGGGAGGGCTGTTGGAGGAGACGGTGGCATCTGGCGTCTTGGACACTCGCATGTTGGCGTGAGGCAGGCTGCTGGAGTGGGCATCGGGGAGGTGGCAGAGGATGCGACGCTGGCACTGTCGGGCCTGACTGCCTCGCCAATGGTGGGGAACCTGGTAGAGATCATGCCCAGGGCGACGCAGGCTTGCTTAGACAAGAAC